GGCTCGGTCCCGTGCGGCTTGCGTGCGCGCCGTAGGGGCGTGCGAGGGATAGCGGCCTCCCAGCGAGTCCAAGCAGCTCTGAGAGATCCCTGCCGAGTCTCAGCCTAGGGCGCATGCACGCTCTACCCCTGTGCCTCGCCCCGTCCCAGTAAGTCTTTTTTTAAAGCTTGCGCTTAGCGATTCAGCGGATGTCTTTCTTTCAGAGTTTAATTGGTGTAGAGGAACGGTTGTGGGTCTTGCCCTGCGTCAGGAGTGCACAGACAGTAATGCGATGTGTAGTGGGTGTGTGGAAAGTGCCAGCCGCTGAAGTTTCCAGCAGATCCTGTAAGGATATGTCCGAGAGCCCTTTAAACAGGCAGATGGCCTCGCAGTCTCAGGGCTCATGTTTCAAAAGCTTATGAAGTGTTTGAAATTTGGCGTTTTCATGGAAAAAGACGCGCTTCCTTCCAACTCCGGCTGACCCGTGAGGAGTACTGGGGAGAGTCTGGTCTGAGGGGTGCAGGGAGGAGGAGGGGCACCCGAGGAGGAAAGAGGCGCTTTTCGTTTCCTTCCGCTTCGTGCTTGGAGGTGGGGAGTTTTGTGTTGAAACAGGCACTGCTTGCTGCTGTCACCTTCCGGCTTTGTGCTCCTCCTCGTCCAGAGGGGTCCAGCGCCCCCCTCGCCCCTCAGGTGACTGCAGCCAGGCCCAGCTCCATTCCCAAGGCTCAGACCTTTCCATTACCCTGTGATGCTACCTCAGGCGTGGGGAGAAAGCATCTCTTTGATGTGCACATCCACTGACGCCCTCTAATCACCAGATAAGCCCTGTATTTTCTTCGTCTATCCACTTGGGGACCGTCTCTTTAAATGGCAAGCTGTGTTGTCTCAGGTGATTAACTGTGAAGATGTGAAAGTGGGAAGGGCTTTTTTCTTGGGAGGGGTGGGAAACCCGTCTTCCTCCTAGTTCCTCAATCTTCAGTCATCCTTAAATGTTGTGGTTATTGTATGGTCAGCTCTTGACAGAAGTGTTAAATGGGTATCAGTGTGCTCGAAGATCCATTGAGAATGACTTAGTTGTAGACACAGGTGACTTGGGAGAGAACATGTCTTTCAAAGTGTCTGCTTCTTGCTGCTTCATTTGGTGTTGAATGGGTTGGTCCGAGGCACCAACTCTGGTGTGGAAGTGTGAGCCTGCTGGTTAGTGGAGGAGAGGCTACTTCTAGGATCCCGCAGCACCCAGCAGCCAGCCGATATCTCAGAAGGGTGGCAGACAGGTCTCTTGTGTGGGAGTTTTTGAAGCTTGTTTGTGGCTTCTTAGGATTTGTGCAAGGTATGATAAAAATATAGGGTGAATGTCTACATTTAAATAAATTTATTACAGTAAAAGACATTGCATTGAATTCCCCTCAGAGTACTCCCCACACACTTGTTGCTACAAAAGCAATTCTGGAAATTCTCTTTCCGGAGTGTCTTTATGAGGGATCACAACTACAGTGAGTGCTGCTACTGACTGTCATGAAACAGGCAGGCTTGTAGAAACATGACCATGTGTCCTCATCTACCTTATCACCAGGTCTGCACAGAAAGTGGCAAGAAGGATGGAATTACCCGTGTTTGAAGCAAAGGGAGAGTACATCGAGAGGAAGTGGTGGCAGAGTCTTTTACTTAAAAAGAAATTCATTCACTGTAGTTTATAATCGTGCCATGTGCAGGCTTGTGGGCAGCGTTCTGACACAGGGGAAGGAATGCTGTGCTGGAGCTGGTATCTGTGGTAGTTTATCGGGGAGACTTCGATGGAGGCCAGGTGTGTGCTGGCCTGGCTGAAGGGTTGGCATTTGGGCTGAAACTAAGAAGGCAAACTTGGTGAAATAAATCCTAGATTTGCTGTTCAGTATAGATACGAAATTATTTTCCTTCCTTTTGGTAGGTCACGGTGATGATAATTGCACACCCTTGATTCTCCCAGTCTCTTCTGTAGTTACTGTTTTCAGTACAGTATCGTTATGGCTGTGTCTTGATATTCCCCCAGAGCCTCTTGTGGTCCCAGGTGGGGCTTTTTCAGAGGTGGCTGGATCTTGAGTGTGTGATGCTGGGATCAAGGGTGTGTGATAACTGAATCAGTCCACTGATTGGATTGGGAGCACTCTAATCCCAGTAGCCTAGACAACGTACAAAAGGTGCAAAGAAAAGCTGGTAAGGTCCCCCGCTCTACTTTGCTGCCTTCTGCCCACCGTGAATGTTTTCCCTCTGTGATGCCTGTGTGCCACACCACCCTGCCTTGGAGCCAGCCAACTATGGACTGAAACCTCTGCAAACTGTGAATCAAATAAACCTTTCTCCTCTAACTTGGGGTGTCAGGTATTTTATCTCAGCAACAAAGAAAGTAACTAAGACAGGTGATTTGTTAAAATATAGTCAATGGGGGCCGGGGGTTTAGCTCAGCAGCACAGTGCCTGCCTGGCAAGGGCAAGGTCGTGAGTTTGGTTCCCAGTACGGGAACCACGCCCCCCCCACCCCAAAAAATAGTTAATGGCATTTTAAAGCCCTTCAAAGACAGTAAGCAGATTTCTTTTTTTTTTTGGTCTTTTTGAGACAGGGTCTCACTATGCAGTTTAGGCTGGTCTTGAACTCACTTTTGTAGCCCAGGCTGGCCTTGGAACTTACAGTGATCCTCCTGCCTCAGCCTCCTGAGTGCTGGGATTACAGGTATGTGCCACCATACCTGGCATAAGCAGATTTCTAAATCAGAAAATGTACCCTTTATGAGATTTACCCTGAGTTTTGATCACAGTAGGTGTGTAGCACTTTTCGGGTACAAACTACTCAGTGTCTGTTACGTGTGGTCATATTTCATCCTTCTTGTCCCTTCCATGCACTTCTGTGGCTCTGTCGTACCCTATAAAGTGATTCTAAATGAAGCTTGGCTAAAGTCTTGCCGTTTCACACATCTGTTTTTGTGCCCTTGGGCAAAACAGTTAACTTTAAGCTTCAGTTTTCTCATCTTGAAGTGAGGAAGCCTTCTTGGTCCTAACATCTTCTCCACCTAATAATTCTACAAAGTTGTATTTAGTGATCAGTCTATGAAAAAAGATCAACATAACGGTAAATATTGACTGAATATTTTTCTTTACATTGTTCAGACTAATTTTGGAAAATGCCAAGTAGGAAATTTGCCGATGGTGAAGTGGTAAGAGGTCGATGGCCTGGAAGTTCCCTCTATTATGAGGTGGAAATTCTGAGCTATGACGGCAAATCCCAGCTCTACACTGTCAAATACAAAGATGGAACTGAACTGGAGCTGAAAGAGAATGATATCAAGGTAAGACCCTGTTGGTCTCCCCGACTCTGTGGGAGGTGGGGTGCCCCCGCTCTGGCTGCATCTGCACACAGACCTGTGTGCTGGCGGCCTCTCTGGGTTTGATCTGTTTTGTAGCTGGAGTTCTCCCTGCTGGTGTTAAGCACAGAGAGGAGGGAAGGACTGAGCTTCAGGGGTGACTGAGGAGGTGACACCTGAGTGCTGAGGGTGAAGGGGAAATGGGCGGGTGAGGGCAGCACACTGAAGACTGGGGATGATGGGAACGTGGCCAGGTGTCAGGAGCAGGTGGGGGTTGCGGCAGTGGAGTGGGAAGCGGGAGCCCGACGAGGGGTTCAGTGCTTGTTGCTCCATCCTTGGGCCAGGCTTCCTCAGGAGGGTGGCATCTGTTACATCTGAGTCTGTCCCGAGACTCGTGACCTGTGCAGGGAGGCCTGGGTAGGAATGCTTGTATCAGATGCTGCAGCCTAGTCCCGGCCACTCAGGATCTGAGACAGCGGGTCACAAACTGGGGCCAGCCTGGGAAACACAGTGAGGCTCCACCTCAAAAACGAGTGAGTAAGTAGATATGCCGTAAAAATTAATTATGAGGAAATAAGATATACAAAGTAAAAGCTGCAATTTTCATTAGATTTCACAAACATGAAATTCCTCTGTGACAGTGCTTGCAGATGTCTGTACCAGTTGTCAGTTCTGTGCCTGCTGTGGGTCAGTCACATTTGGACCCGTGTCCTGGGGACCACATTACAAGAGAATGTCACACCTAACTGCCCCTCAGGCCGGGCAGCCTGGGAGCTGCTCCAGGCCTTGTGGAAGGACATGGGGGGGGCCTATTCTGATAAACCTTTGTTTATGGATGCTGGAATTGGAATTTCTGATAGTTCTCACGCCTGTCTGTAGGCATTTGCCTGAGGTAAAAACCATAATGGCTTGAGGGTGAGGGTGAGACCCAAAAGCCCCTTGGGCTGTAGTTGACAGAGGCCTCGCCCCAGTTCTGGAAGCCATTGGTGGATCGGGTGGAACAAAGCCTTGTCATCCACCATTGGGGTTCAGGCGAACTGTGGGGGTGACTCCTCAGCTGTGTGCTAAATTCCTTGTGGTCTTAGTTTCCCTCACGCGGGTGGGGGGGTGGCGGTGGCCACACTGGTGGGAATTGGGGACGTGTGAGGGTACAAGGGCTGCCGCAGTCCGCCACTGTCTCTGCAGCGCTCCTGGGCCCAGGCCTCCTGGCCCCTGCCACCGGGGTCAGAGTTGGGGGTGTTCAACCTGTCCTGTCAGTGTGAGCGGCTCTGCGCACCTTGCTCTGTGATGAGCTCTTTGCCACCATCCTCCCCTCCAGCCTTTAACATCCTTCAAGCAGAGGAAGAGCAGCTCAGCGTCCAGTTCTCCCTCCAGACGCCGTGGGAGCCGTGGCAGCAGGTCTCGGTCACGTTCCCGGTCCCCTGGTCGGCCACCTAAAGGTTCCCAGAGATCCACCTCTGCTTCCCATCAGGCTGATATGAAGGGAATGAGGAGAGAGATTCTGGAAGTTAAATTGACTCCACTCGTATTGGTAACTTGTCTTTATCCTTGTATAGTGTGTGTTTCATCTGTCCATAGCACTGTTGCCCCTTGCAGGTAAATGTTTATTCGAGTTGCTTGCAGTTAATAATATTAAAATGTCAGCAGGACATCAAGTCTGAGGTCAAAACTTTCTTGTGGAAAGCATATTCTTTTAAATTAAAAAAAAAAAAGAATGTTTTTAAGTTATAAGAAGTGCTGTTTATCCCAGCACTCCGGGAGGCTGAGACAGGAGGATTGTAAGTTCAAGCCTAGACCTGGGCAACTTACCAACTAAGCAAGACCCTTGTCTCTAAAAAGGGCTGGGGATATATAGCTCAGTGCCAGGGCCCTGGGTTCAATCCCTAGTATTCCCCCATTACTCCACAATGCTATTTAATATTGTCTTAAAAAATAGTGTTTACATTGAAATAGACATTGCTTGTAGAGTGAACTGAGTTTTTACATTGTATAAAAGTTCACTGTGAAAGGAGACGGAACTGTGTTACAGAAACATTTATGTTTTCTCAGCATCATATTCGGTCTCTTCCTTATGTAAGATGATCATTTTGCTGGAAAGACTTCCGAGTGCCTGCCTAAGAATGTCAGGGTGTGTGGTGCTATACACCTTATGCAGTGGGGTAGATAAGATGATAGACCAAACAAGAAAATATTTTACAAGAATTAGAGTAAAAGTTATCTTGTAATCCTTTCATATAATTTCACCTCTTTTTTGGATGAAATATATACAGACTTTTAATAACCTTTAAAAACTGGACTACATGCATACTATTTATAGTTACATTTTTATTTTAATTTTTTTAGACAGGTTCTTGCAGTGTAGTTCAGGCTGGCCTTGAGTTCACTATGTAGCCCAAGCTGGCCCCAAGCTCATGGTGATATTCCTGCCTCAGCCTCCCAAGTGCTGAGATTACAGGCGTGTGCAGCCGCCATACCTGGCTGTAGTTAAATTTTTAAAAATTTAAAATATTGGGAATAACCTTTCATGATATACTTTTTTATACCATTCTGATATATGAGATAGTGTGGATATACCATTAATTGCACAGATGTGAGGTAATTGTTAAAGTTAGCTCCTCTATTGGTAGACATCTAGTGTTTTCCCTTTTGAGTCTTTACCACTATAAATAGGTAGAGACATTGAGTTACATCCTTAGGATAAATTGTTAAAAGTGGAGCTGCTGGGTCAGATGTACAACGCTGTCTTGCAGCTTTACTGCACGTGCCACATTGCTTCCAGAACGTGTGTCAGGATCGATGGTGTATGAATGCTGTTTCTCATCTGAGTATTACAATCTTTTTCCAATGCCTGTCAGAGATTTGCGGCTCTCTGGTTTGATTTGCCTTTTGCTTCTTGCCAGTGAGTTGAATTTGTTGACTCTCAGGGGCTCCAGGGCCAGCTGGGTGCACAGGGTAAGGAAGGCACTGCACACTGCCTCTGTGACTTTGGTTTGTGATGCCTGGGACTCACATTTCCACAGTGTCATCTCCCGGGTCCCGTAGTGACACAGAGCTGCAGCCTGGCTTGGCCTCCCTGTCGCCCTTAGTGTCTGTTGGCTGTCTTTACGGGTCTGTAGGGCCTTGATGGGGACTGGACCTGGATCCTGTGTGACACTGTCCTTTGCCACCTGGTGAATTATAAAGGAGCAAAGTGACAGATGTCAGTCGTGGATGTCTGAGAAGCCTTCTGGGAGGTAAATCTCTTGTTCAGCCAAGTGAGAAAAGAGGCTGAGTTGAGAAAATGGACTCATGGCAAGGGGAAATTTAGGGTTAAATAAATAACCCTGCAATTTCATGCAAATGGCATGAAATTGAGAAAGTAAACTGTACCTCAGTAGTAATATTCTATAACAGTCTACTATTTCTTAAATTTCTTTCTAGGCTGTTTTGATGCAATAGATGTCTTTTCCTCGTTTTTAACAACAAGTAATGAACTAATGTATCAGTTTTTACTTTTATCAGCCTCTCATACTAAATAGAGCATCTGATTGAAATTATAACAGTCTAATTATATTGGAAAGATGAAAAGTGTTCAGAGGAAATCTATAAGAACCAATCTTTGAAGACAGGGAAATTCTAATCAATTTTGTTCCCCGTTTTTTTTTTTTTTTTTTTTTTTTTTTTTTTTTTTTTTTTTTTTTTTGGTGGTGCTGGAGATTGAACCTAGGCGTCACACATGCTAGGCAAGTGCTCCACGCTGAGCTATATCCTAGAGTCCCCCTTTGCATTTTTATAGGGACAAAAATTCTTTAAAATTAGGGCTAGAAAACCTTTGGCTCATTTTGTTGTTGGATTTGCAGTATTAACTTGCTACCATTGTCTCACATTCTACTCAGAAGCCGTTTGGGAACAGCATCAGCACGTACAATGGAGGGCCAGAGCCTGAGCCGGGTGACGGGAAGGACACGTCTCACAGAAGACCTCAGGTACACGGCAGGGGAAGGACACCCCTCACAGACATGCATACATGTCACCTTGGGAAGCTCTTCTTTGTTAACCTTATTTTCCCCTCTCGAAGCACTTTGGAAATCATAATAGTTTATAATCTGGTCTAAGACTGGTTGTAATTTGGCAAGTTCATTCCTGTTAGTATCTGCTATGTTGAGATGCTGAATTCCTTAATGGAGTTGCCTTTGTGGAACTGTTGATATGGATATTTTAATATGCTCTGTGTTTTACTTAGGAAAGATTCACCATGTCCCAAGAAGGCAGTTATGTGTCTGCTCAGTATAACCTTCATCCAAGAAGGGAGGAGATCAAGTTCAATGAAGTTGATTCTAAGGAAGAAAAGCTTATTGCCAAAGAACCTGATTCTCTGAGAATGTTTCACGTGGCCACCCCTCAGGGGAGGGAGCTGGAGTTTGGGGGCATCCCTGGTAAGTGTTCTGTCCAGGCCTCAGCGGGCAGAGCCTGCAGAGGGGATCCCCCTTTGGGGGATGAGCATGGAGTGGACAGGATGTCAGTATGGCTGTGTTCAAGCATCTTCCCCGCAGGCTGTCATAGGCTTTGAGTGGAGTAGAGGAGTCTGACCTGACAAACAGCAGGGGAGCTCGATGGAGACAGAACCGTGAAGACCAGACCGGGGTGGGGGTGGGGGATGGGGATGGTGGTGGTGGTGTCGTCTAGGCGTCACAGCCTTGGGTTTGTGAGTAGGTGGGACTGATGAGCGAGGCAAAGGAAGTGCTTGGCCAAATGATCCCCAGTGCTGTGTGGCTTCGTTGCTGTGTTTTATAAGTGGTGATGCTTGGCTGGTTGGCTGGTTGTTACAGGTTTGTCCAGCATCACCCGAAGTCTGCACACCTGACAGGAAGGTGATATATTTTAATTTTTGGAAGTTCATGGATACAGAGTTGTTAAGATGAGACGGATCATTTCCAGATGAATGGCTATGGGTTTGCTGGCCTCTTCCATCCTTTAGTTGCTAAGGAAAATGTCTGGAGCTGGGTTCTGAGCTGGGGCATAGCTATTGCGGTGCTGGGTGTCCATGTTTCCTGCTTTGACACCCACAGTTGCTTCCTCTGAAGGCAGTGTGCAGAGGTGCAGAATTCTAATGGGCTCGGAGGGTTGGTTTCAGACCAACAGCCGGGCCTGAGCTCAGGCCTTAGAGACCCGTGTGAGTTTTAAACCAGCAAGCTGGTGGAGCTGGCTGAGGCTCACCCCCACACGCCCATCTGCCTGCCTGCAGGTGCACTGCTCATCATGCTGGGCCTGCCTGTTGTCGTCTTCCTGCTACTGTCCTTGTGCCGGCAGGATGACCCCAGCCTCCTGAGTTTCCCACCTCCCTTGCCAGCACTGCGTGACCTGTGGGAGCCTCGGGCCAGTGGGCTCTACTTCCTCTGGTTTTCTGTTCAAGTTCTCTTTTCTCTGCTGCCAATTGGAAAGGTAAGTTTTTGCTGGTGGGACATGGCTTTGTGAGGCTTTCCTAGCTTTTCTTCCATGGTTACATGAATGAATTCACAGCAGTTTTAAGGTTAGAAGCTGCTGGTGGTCATAACTAGCAAAACTTACTCCTCTACCACATGACACTTACCCATTAGTGGAAATTTAAAAATCTGACTTTTGTGTGTTACTTTCTAAAGCAAATAGAAAATAAAAGGCTAGTTTGCAAATTGGCCTGACTCAGAGAGGTGTGTGTGTGTGGGGAGATTCTTTCTCACCATGAATCATGTCAAATGAAACATTTTAAATCATTAATTGATGAGCTGTGGCACTCAGTGGACTTTATCATTTTGTTTTTTTTTAAATACAAGTTTCTGATCTTTAATACCTTTGAGAAGTGCACCAGTAACATTTTACGTACTTTTCAGAGTCATGCGATATTTTTAAAGTTCCTGTTGCTAAGTGTGGGTTTTTATTCTTTCAGTAGAGTACTTTACCTGGATATATTTAAAGGAATGTGAGATTCCTAAGTAATAAATAATTTATGTAAGATTTTTATTCTTAGAGCTTTGCAAGTTTGCCAGCTGCAGACCAAGGACCAGTTAGTTCTTTGTCATGGCAAATGCGAGTGACGGTGGGCACAGGCTCCAGGGCCGGGTGCACCTGCTGCCAGCTCTGCAGGAAGGGGCCTTTGGTTGTTGCCGCTTTGACTACATTGATAATGTGGGGTAGGGCAAGTTTGATGTTTAGTAGGGATAACAGTTTGGATGGTTACAAATGAGATGAATATTTAAATTAAAGTGACTAAAAAAATATATCCTGGTGTATATTAAATATGTACTTAATAGTCCCAGTCTAAAGCCCAACACAGTATGTACTAGATACCTTTAAAAGATAAGGGTCATTTGAAATAAGCACGTGGGGGGAGCTAACCCTGTAATCGGACAGACTTTGCCTTTCCTCTGGGTTCCCCCTGATGAAGAGTTCTGGACACAGGATGCCTGCTGCTGTTGGGTGCTCTGAAAGCATGGCTGTGTTTCCAGGCCGTGACTTAGGGAAGCGAGATGGGCCAGCCTGGGCAGGTGGACTCTACCTTCATCCACCTGGAGCCTATGTCACATAGCTTCTCCCGTGTGGGCCTCTCTGTGGAGGTCAGCTCCTTCTGGAGCTGGTGATGTCGTAGGGTGGCCAGTGCCTTGGGCAGAGCAAGGAGGAGCAGGGTGCATGACAGTGGGCACTGCAGGTGGGGCCAGAGCGGAGCTGGTTGGAAAGGACCTTGCAAGTGAGGAGAGTGAGATGGCACTGTAGTTTGTAAGCAGTGGAGACCACAGCAGATTGCTGAGCCGAGGCTTCATCACATGCAGAATGGTGGTGTTTGGAGCACCTTTGGTCTTGGGAGGGTCCAGGAGACAGCTGGGGTGGATAGGTGCCTCTTGCAGGAGTCTTAGCACATCAAGTTAGTGATTAGAGTTAGGTTCAAGAAAAATTCCTGAAGGCAGAATTGCTTCCTCAGGGGCAGGGGCTGTCTTGCACTCTGCAAGGTGAAATTCCAGTTCCTTACTCTGAGAGGTCTGCTTCCTCGGGCATGCTGAGATTTAAGAGAGAGCAGAAAACTGTAACCACGTGTGACATATCTCTTACATGTAAGGATGATGGTAATGTACTTTTTTAACTTTTAAATTTTTCTTCTCTAGGTTGTAGAAGGATTGCCTCTTGTTGATGGAAGAAGACTCAAGTATAGATTAAATGGTGATTTTTTTAAAAAGACTCATTAATTATTTTATAACTTAAACTTTTGGGAATTGTACTCTTTAAACCAGTGGTGGAGAACCTATGGCACATGTGCTGCAGCAGCCTGTTATTGAAAGCTCTAAAAGGTTTGCCATCACCACTTCAATCCATCAAAGCTGATTCCACCAGAGCTGTGAACAGGAATTCTTAGTAGTTTGAGGGGTATGCAGATAAACTTTACCTGCAGCCAGGGGTAAGACTCAGGCTATGTGAAATGGTAGCCCCCAAGTCAGTTGGCTGTCTAGCTTTACCTCTCTTTAACTACCTTACCTGCTTTATCTTACCTTGCCTACCTTACCTTACTTACCTGCCTTATCTTTCCCTACCTTACCTTACTTCTCTTATTGCCTTACCTTACCTTACTTACCTTACCTACTTTACTTTATGTACCCATCTTACCTTACCTACTTTACTTTACCTTACCTACCTTTGCAGTGCTGGGGTTGGAACTAGCCCTGGCTTCATTTCTCAGGAGCACCTATCCTACTTGCAGTGTTGTACTCACCCATGGTCTTCCCCCGCTGGGAACCTTGCATGAATGGGGATGTCCCATCCCCTCTGTCCCGCTTGCTCACGCCCCTGCTCATTGGCCCCCAGCTGTCTCTCACATCTGTGTCACTTCTCTTCTCAGGGCCTTTACTGGGGATGTCCTCACAAGTCTGCCAGCTGCTGCTCACTCTTGCACGCCTGCTTGCACAGCCTCAGGGCCTCTCCTTGCTGCCCTCTGTTCTCTTGACAGCACCTGTCTGCCTGCTGGGCCTTCCTCCTGGTGTGGCTCTCTGGGCAGCCCTGGGCTCATCCTGTGGTGTCTGCTGCCTGGAGAGTGCTTGGGGGCGGTGGGGTCTCAGCACAGTCAGGATGTGGCAGGCACTGCACCTCCTGGAGGGGGCAGCTGCCCTGGTGGGAGCAGGGAAGAGATTCCGACCTGAGGGGCAGTCTCCACTAGATGCACGTTGCCTTTGCCTGTGATGGAGAAACTGTTGGCTGAAGCCAGCAAGCTGGGAACTGCCTGTGTCTGAATGCTTGGCCCTCGAGCCCTCTCCTTCTTACTGTCCTAGCTTTAGGTGCTCTGATCAGTGCTTTGCCTGCCCCTCCTCCCACCTGAAACCAGGGTGTTGGGTCCTGGCAGGGCCAGGTGCCTCAGCTGCCATGTGCCTTTCATCTGCCATGCTGAAGCCCAGCTGGGAGCCACATGGCTGCTTCATGTGTTTGCTGTCACCAAGTTGAATTCCGCTCAGAGGGAACAGGTTTAGACTTCCTCCCTGCAGGCTGCACACCTGTGGCAGAGGGATGAGGTTGGGGAAGCAGTCTGGGCCACCTAGGTCACCTCTTGAAGGTCTTGGTGTTCGTGTCTGCTGTATCCGTGCACACGTCCCTTGGTCTCTCCCTTGGAGACCTGGTATCTTTAGAGCCTTGGAGCTCTGGGAGGCAGCACTGACCTGGTCAGTGGGTCCTTTATAGAACTTCCTCATCAGGTTACTCTGATTCCAATATTTGGGTATTCTTTTCATGAGATTTTTACTTTACTGGCAATTTTTAAGATATTTTAACTGATTATTTTTAATCCATGTGCCATTCTTTTTCTAATTTTTAATTTCTTTGTCCTTTTGAGACAGAGTTTTGCTGTGCAGTTCACACTGGCCTTGAACTCACTTTGTAGCTCAGGCTGGCCTTGAACTTGTGGCAATACTCCTGCCTCAGCCTCCCAAGTGCTAGGATTACAGGCATGCGCCATCACGCCCGGTGTGTGCCATTCTTCTTAATATTCACCGACTTTGTGAGAGTTTAATGACTATTTTTATAAGTTCAAGTGTTAAAAATTATTCATTGGAGTAAGGGCAGTATGGGTTTAAGTAGTACAGAGGGTGACTCTGTTTCTTCACAGACATTCTGTTTTTAGAGTTCGTATAGAAGTAATGCCACGTGGGTCCCAGGAGAGTGATAGTTTCTGTGGCCAGGAGACACGGGGAGCCCACGGAGCCTCTTACCCGGGTGGGAACAGTGGCTGAGTGTGGGCCCTTGCTCTGCTCCGGGGCTTGGGGTGAGCTCTGTGAAGTCAGTATTGACAAGGGGATTCGAGTGTAAACACCCACACCCTCACAGGAGGCAAGGGTGCAGACCCTGCACCGTGTGCCACGACCTCTAACTTGGGGTTGAGTGTTTGCACTGAGAGCTTTTTGCAGCTCTCTCCCGTTTCTATGTATAGAACTGCCTTTCAGCTTTCTGTTAATTAAAAGCAGATGATACTGTTTGCTATGAAAAAGAATAAATGTGTTAAAGTATTTTACAGATGCAAGAGTATGAAACCTGCATTGAGTATCACCCCTTGGGGTGGTGCTTATTATTGTTTAGTCTGAGAATCTCTGAGATTCACACGCAGCAGTGCTTTGCTTTCAAGCCAGCGCTGGGTTAATGCTAGTCATCTCCCTCTTCTCTGAAGGATTCTATGCTTTCGTGCTGACTTGTGCAGTCCTTGGCATGGCTCTCCTGTGGGGCCTAGAGCTTCATTACCTGTATGAGCACTTCTTCCAGCTGGCCCTCGCAGCCATGGTGTTCACCGCTGTCCTGAGTGTCTACCTCTACGTGCGTGCCCGGAAGGTCCACGGAGCCGAGCTGTCGCCTGCCAGCTGTGGTGAGTGCCGTGCCCTCTGGCTGCTTCCATGCTTACGGTGATTGCTTTGGTCTCTAGCTTTATTTGTAGGGCATCAAGAGAAATGGGAGGAAATAAAAGATGAAGAAATGTAGAGAAGTGAATTTAAAGCAAGAAAATATTTTTTATTTTTCTTCATATTTTGCTATTTTTTTCCTTCCCTATTTTTAATTACTTGACAATGGTAGACTTTTTTAATTTTTAGGAATTGTAAATTATGACAGATATTGTTTTGTCCAGAATAGTAGATACCCGGGGTGTAGCTCAGGGGAAGAGCATTTGACTGCAGAATAGTAGATACCCTTTATAAAGGACAGTAGCAGTTGCAAATTGGCTAATTCTGACCCAAGTATTTGAGATTTTTTAAAAGTTGCTTACTTTTAAAAAATTGTACATTTTAGGGGCTGGGGATTTAGCTCAGCGGCAAAAGCGCCTGCCTCGCAAGTGCAAGGTCCTGAGTTCGGTTCCCGGTACCGGAGAAAAACCAAAAAAAAAAAAAATTGTACATTTTAAAAAAACTCTGTTCCCTCAAAACTGGGACCTGGCCACCTGGGCTGCCGAGGTGGTTGCTCTTACAGAGGCCGCGTCCTTTGCCCTCTGCCATCAGAGCTCTAGGTGCTCTGTGGGCCTCGCAGGCAGTGGGCTGGCTGTGAAGCCTTTGGCTGGGTTTGGAGCACCATGTGGGAAAACCTTCTCCATTCTCAGGAAATGTTATCTATGATTTCTTCATTGGCCGTGAGTTGAACCCGAGAATTGGTTCTTTTGATCTCAAATACTTCTGTGAACTGCGCCCTGGCTTGATTGGATGGGTAAGTCATCTTGGAGAATTTCAGTTCAGTAGTACACATTTGTCTTGCATTTAGAAACAAGTGTAGACACATTTTTAGGGGTAATGACAGCTTTCTATAGTCTGGTCTATTTGACATAAAATATTTTATTATAAATATTTTCTAGAGGTTTAAGATGCCATTTCTAAGTTACCATATTAAAATTTGTTTCTTTATCAGATTATATTTATGTCAGAAAGTGATACTATAGGTAAATTAATGTAAGAAAAAAATACCACTCCTTTAAAAAAACATTCTGACCAAGTTGCAGCTTGCGGGGGACAGCACACACAGAGCAGGGTCCTCCTGTCCTTCACCCACATCTTGCAGGGTTGGGGCTGGCGTCAGGAACTCCGAGGGTTTCTGCTGCGTGCGTCCTTGGTCCCAGGACCCCTGTGGTCCTCACGCGCCCCTTCCTGCTTCCTTGGAGTCTGCTGTAGTCTGTGTGGTCTTTGTCTGTCCTAGCCTCTCATAACCTTCACATTTTTTTAAAGTGTGCCGGTCAGGATTTTATTTAAGAATGTTCCCCAGCTTGGATTGGCCTGGTACTTTTTCATGATTGGGGTGAGGTTATGTGTTTTTGTCAAGAACACTGTGGAAGTGACCTTGCGTCTTCTGGTGCTGTGCCTGGGATTTGTGATGGGGTTGTCTCTTGCCCAGCACTGGCGTGGTTGATGGAGTCTGTGGTCTCAGCAGGAAGTTGCTCTGGCTGTGTGTCCTGATCACACCTTGAGACTCTTCCCTCCCTTGGATGACAGGTAGTGATTAACCTGGTGATGCTTTTGGCTGAAATGAAGGTGCAGAACCGGGCTGCTCCGTCCTTGGCAATGGTTTTGGTTAACAGCTTCCAGCTTCTGTATGTGGTGGATGCTCTGTGGAATGAGGTAAGGAACTGTAAGAGCCCCGGCCTGTGGCTTGAGGAGTTGGTGAGTGGCCTGGCAGCAGGAGCCTCGCTGGTTCCATGCAGCGTGAGGGAAGAGGCCGTGTGGTGCTGTCCAGGAGAGCAGGTGCTGGTGCCCACACATCCACAAAGAACCTTGGATCTGCTTAGAAACAACATTCTGAATAAGATTGGCACATCTGGGCTTTTATTTTACGAGTGGTGACCAAGTCACACAAGTAAAGTTTAACTTCTTAATTAATATCTCAAGGAAATACATGGATAATCATCAAATTGGAAGGACATTCTTTTGATTGTTTTCGGGGGGCAGGTACCGGGAATCGAGCTCTGGAACTTGTGCTTGCCAGACAGGTGCTGTGCTACTGACTTTCTAACCCATTAAGTCACTTGTGCTACAAGTGACTTAATGGGTTAGAAATCTGTCTTTTTTTTAGAGACTTAGCCAGGTATTACTTTCTGTTAACAGAAACATTTTGCATCTAGTTAGGGTTCTCAGGCAGTGCTACAGAGCCCTGGGGTAGAGAGCGAAAGGGTGTTGGTTTCCGTGTGTCCTTGGGCCCAGGAGGTGGCAGCTTCTTGTGTGTGGCCTGGACGCGGGGTCCTGTGGTGCCTGGCTGCCTGTGGGCAGCTGGCAGAGCACACCAACATCTTGTGGGGTCAGGGAGAGAATCCCTGCCACACCAGACAGCTGAAAATGCCAGCCAGGGACAATGTCCTGAGAGTGCCCGGGTGAGGCTGCTGGGTGGGGCTGAGGGTGCAGAGCTGCCTGCAGGAACCAGCCTGTCTCTGCTACTCCAGTGCTGAGAGATGAAGCTGCCAGTTGACCAGGTTGCTGGGCAGCTTGTTTCTGCTGTGAGAATGCAAATAAGCTGGGCGAGGGGGCTCCCTCCTGTAATCCCAGGTACTCAGCTGGCGGCCCTTTTAGCGATCTGTCCTAACAGCTGCACACACTTGACTGAAAATGGGCGCTTTGTGTGAAGACTCTGAGCAGAGCAGCTGCTTCTTTCCTGTGATCCCTGCAGGAGGCGCTGCTGACGACCATGGACATCACCCACGACGGGTTCGGGTTTATGCTGACCTTCGGGGATCTGGTGTGGGTTCCCTTCACCTACAGCCTGCAGGCCTTTTATCTCGTCCACCATCCCCATGAGCTGTCCTGGCCACTGGCTGCACTAATCATCGCTCTGAAGCGTGAGTGTCCACTTCGTGCACTGTGTGTTTTGCTCTGGTGTCTTCCTGTCTGTCACTTGCTGTTTTAAGTGGCCCCAGCTAGCTGTGATGGAGGAGAGAGAATGGTGCTTCCTACCCAGGTTCTTGAGTGGTTGTCTGAATGGACAATTTTAAACAAAACTTGTTTTCTAAATTTAACATATTTAAGTAAATTAAACATTTACATGTTTTAGTAAGGGTTTATCCCCTCTCCTAAGGGTCTGCTTTTTCAGGTAGTTGTCATGAGACCAGTATGATTGGTCTTGGCTTCACAAGGCTCACATCTTAACTGGAAGGGAAACATCGAGGTCGAGGCTCCGAGGGGCTCAAGGGCAGGAGTGCATGCCCTTGGTGGAGAGCCCAGCCTTTGATCTGACTCAGTTCAGCAGGGATGCAGGCTGCCCTCAGGCGAGGCCACATGGGGGCATTCCACCCCCCTTTGCCCCAGGGATGATCAGCACTGAATGTTACATCAGCTGCCTTAGCTACACACACCTGTATCAGTGATGAAAGAAGATACCAAGCTGGGTTAGAACTTGGGCTGCTTCATCACTGGGTTGGGTTTCTGGGCCAGCCGTGCTGGTGTGGGAAGGGGAGGTGTTTCTCCTCGCTCAGAGTCTCAGGAACTTAGGGCTTGCAGTTTCACGCAGGTGTCATCTGAGGCCTGCAGGTACATCCCTGAGCAGAGTCAAGGGGACACAGGACTACACTGTTGTGTCTTAGGTTTTACTTTCTTCGTGGATATGACTGTAGTTGCTAGTTTTCCTTTCAAGGTGGATGACAATAGATTGCAGAAGAGTTATCTTTAGATCTGAGGTTGAAGCTTTTTGAATTTTTTTTTTTTTTTTTTTTTTTTTTGTCTTTTTGAGACAGGGTCTTGCTATGCAGTTCAGGCTGGCCTTGAGCTCACTTTGTAGCCCAAGCTGGCCCCTACCTTGCAACGATCCTCCTACCTCAGCCTCCCGAGTGCTGTGATTGTAGGTGTGCACCACCATGCCAGATCTTAAATTATTTTTAAGAAATCAAGAGTATTCTCTGATTTGGATATTTACTCAAAGCAGAAATTTTTCCAGCAGAAATTGCAAATGACTTCAGTATTAGATAATATCTAAATTATTGACATAGAAAAATACTTTAATATTACAGTTTGTGGATACATAATCTTCCGATGTGCAAATTCTCAGAAAAATGCATTCCGGAAAAATCCCTCTGATCCAAAGCTTGCACGTGAGTATTTATGTTTTTATGATGTGTGTTACATGGGAACTTTATATCTCTCCTTTTTAGAGATCATTAAGAATGTATTTCCCTATATAGATTTGAAAACCATTCACACTTCCACGGGGAAGAACCTCCTGGTGTCTGGATGGTGGGGCTTTGTCCGACACCCCAATTACCTGGGCGACCTCATCATGGCCCTGGCGTGGTCCCTGCCGTGTGGTGAGTGCTGCGGGCAGGAGCCCGGGAGGCGGCCCGGCACAGGACAGGTGCTGCTGTGCCCTGGGGGCAGCGTCGCACCCACCTGGCTGCTGCGGGAGTTGGAACTCAGAGCTGTAGTTTAACTTGAAGCTTCTAGAAGTGCAGTTTTTGAGCTTTAAACTTTCCTCAGTGGTTGTTTTCTCCATAGAATATCCAACTTTTAATTTATGACAGTATATTTAGATTCTGGAAACTTTGGTTCTTAGAGGATTAGGGCAAAGCAGGAAAAAAGTATCATTTTAAACATAAAATCTTATGTCTGTGTTCTCGCCTGCAGGTTTTAAGCACACCCTGCCGTACTTCTATGTGGTCTACTTTGCGGCGCTGCTGGTGCACCGGGAGGCCCGGGATGAGCAGCAGTGTCGAAGGAAGTACGGGCTGGCCTGGGAGCGGTACTGCCAGCGAGTGCCGTACCGCCTGCTGCCTGGCCTGTACTGACGGCCCGCCTGCCCAGCCGGCTGTGCACGCAGAAGCCAGGGTGCCTGTCCTGCGTGCGCAGGACCAGAGAGCCACATAGTAGGTCTTTACGGGGCCATGTTTATTTTTATTAAATTGTAACAGTGAAAGAAAAAACACAAGAATGTTGGACTTTCCATCTTAATAGGAGAATTTCAATCCTTACAAGCCTTAAGACAGTTTTTCTGATAAACACATGGAAGAGAATACTATTAATGTTCATAGTTTTTGTTTCCTTTCAAATTTTGATATTTTTCCTTTTGCCAGTTCATTGTTGTCAAAACACTGTTACATTTAAAATAGTGTACAAATGTACAGTGTGTTAAGAGAAAAGAACTTGCATTCGTTTCTCTTTAGAGCATTCCCTAGCTGTGTGATCTGAAAGGCGAGGGCTCCAGTGAAGTGCTATGAGGAGCGGAGCCGCTGGCAGCAGACACTGCCCTGAGCTGCTGAGCCTGCGTTGGAAGGTGTAAATAGCTTACTTTTATGTAATGTATAGAAAGTGCAGATTGTTTTTGTACAGTATTTTAAATGTGAGATAATTGTCAGAACTTAACAGCTTTTTAACAAAACATTTTTAGTCTTTTAAGTTAAGTTTTATAAAGTAATACAGGTGAATCAGAAATTGTGAAACCATTAGAATTCATTTAATATTGTATAGAAGATGCTGTTAAAACATAGGAGAGTATTTTTCTTAACCCAAAGTTTGTGGTTTTGGCTTTGCTACCTCAACTGCAGGTCGTGTTTGCCTTTATAAACTGTTGCAAATAGAAAATATAGAATAAATATATATTTTTGGAGGAACATCACTATTTAAAACATTTTTACATAATGGTGTTTGAAAGTTTGCCATTTTAGGCTAATATTTTTATATTTTTTTACTTCTAAAATTCAGCAGTTTTTGCTACTGTTTATCTCATGCAATCTGTTCTGTATGTGGTGTATTGTTTATATCTATAAAACTATTTCTGATAAAAGAGTGCTATCTAAAAACAATTTAAGGGGTTTAAAATTGTTTTAGTTTAATAGCTGTGCATAAGGTAGCTTTCGTCACTAAATTATGATGAAACTCCTGTAGCCTTAGTCATTACTGTAATGGAACAGTAGCAAAATAGCTCGACTTCTATATTCAAAACAAAATTGTCCTTCATATCTGAAGCATAGGGGAGTGCAGTGCATGTGTTGAGTGTTACACGGGAATACACTGGTTTAGATAATGGCCCTTTGGTGTTCGCAGATTCATTCTGCAACTGGAGGTGTATATAACTTAATCTGTGAATGTGATCATGAAGTTGGTTTGCTAGTCTTGCATTCTGCATCCTGCAATCTTTAAACATTGTTTTTATGAAACCATCAGTATATTACTAGTGTTGATGTATGCAAGTGGTTTTTCTTTGCTGTTTGTAACGCTTTCCTCCAGGTACTGGAAAGTGGTGTGCAGTATTTTCTGTGCTGGACCCACCTCAGAGGCTGGTGTGGGGTGGAAGGGATTTCCGTTCTTTCTCTGATAAGGGCTGCATTTTTCTAAATTACCTACAGTTAGTTCTTAATTTTGCTTTTGAAACATTTGATAAGCTTTGAAATGAAGTTTTAAGTTGCAAATAAAGTTGAAAATAAAAATGTTTTGGTCTCTTTGGATCCTCATTTCTTTTCTGCCTGCAGCTCTGGGCTGATTGGCACCAAGCGCCAAGGCTTCGGCATGTGCCCCCACTGGTTTCTCCTGGGTTTGTTTCTTTAGGAGCTTCCTAGACCAGAGAGAGTTCCGAAGGCACACTGGGTCCCTGCCAGCTGCTGGTGGCACGATGCTCTCAGGATTTTGGACTTGAAGGGGTTGGTGTTGGCAGGGACTCAGCTCCCAGGAAATGGGCAAGTATCTAACTGCTGTTTGAGAAAATTGAGAAATGCTACAAACTACCGTAGATTCAGCAGTTCTTTCAGATGCGTCTGTGTCAGTCACAGCAGTGTATGTGTCCCTTCGACAGGCCCTGGGGAGAGTGCTGGTGAGTTTGCAACAGCCCACACCTGGGCTAGGAGTGTTTTGTGCTGTTTCGAAAGGAGGGCTTGTGTGGCTTGTCCAGCCACATTGGTAGAGGAACAGCACCTAAGGGGTAGCCAGGCAGCTGCATCCGTGTCAGAGCTCTCCGAATGGCGGGGTGTGGAGGGAGTGTGCCCTCCCTCTTTACTGTTTGTCTTTTGTTAGGACCCAATACTTTGCCATTTTCTTCTTGGTTCCTAAATAAGGATTGTCTTATAATTCCTTTCTGTAGCATTCTATATAAGTAGGTTTTATCTCTTTTGTTTCTTAATGTTACTGTGAAGAGTCTGTTCTTTCCAACTCAAGCCAGAGTGGATACTATGGTCTTCGTATCTTCTCACTGTGGACTGAGGCTACAGTCACATGAGAAGGACATGGGGCCAAAAGGCTGCACCTGGACGAGATTCTAACCTCTGAGCACTGGTTTCCTCGTTAGGCAGTTTGCTGACAACCTGTATGGAACCAGGGCCAGAGGATCACTTGGGAATTCTTCCTAGTGGTGGTACCTGCTGTTGTGGATTAAGTTAATGAAATGATCACTGTAGCAACACGGTGAGACTGGAATCCAATTGATGGAAATCTTGGGATTGGTTTTCAGTAGAGACAGTGGTAGATGTGGGATGGGCATGTCCTCAAGGAAAGCATCCTAGGGCATTACTGTACAAGAGTTGCAGTTTATGGACTCATACGGCCAGAGGTGGCCCAGGTGCGCAGTCTGTCCCTGCTGTGCTCCATGCAGAGCTCAGGAACCTCTCCTGGGTGTGGAGGTCTCGGGGATAGAACAGAGCCAGCCCTGCCCAGCTGTACACATGAGGGTTTGTGTTTGTGACACACATGTAAGTGTGGTTAGAGTCAAAACAGTATGGGATGGAATTTTATTTTTCATCTTTCTCACACAGCAGTGCCACCTGCATGGTGATCCAGTGACTGGGGGGTTTCCTCGTGGGTAAATGCACTGAGGTCAGGAAGTTTCCTGGTAAACCAGTAGTAATCAAAGTTCTTGACCTCTCAGGAGTCTGGTAAACCGGGCATTCAAAAGTGTAGATTTCTGAGCCTGGGTGGCTAGAAGTATCATGCTTTACAGTAGAAATCTAAAAGAAAAAAGAAAAAGAAAAAAAAAATCCAGTGGTCAAATTGCAGAGTTCCAGGGAACCAGTGGCTCACATTTTTCATAAAAGGGTTGGGGATTTGTGGTGAACTCCATACACTTTGGACTAGATGGTTAGTATAGCTGCAAATAGCTGTGCCTGGAAAGTCAGAGCTATAGTGGCTTTTTTTTATAGTTCATATTCCTGAGAAATAACTGCACATTGGTACGGCATCTGTCTTAGAGTTAGTGGTATTGGGCCATTTTGTACATTGTTGTCTAATGGATGTTCCCACCTTCCCTTGTGAGGTCACAGAGTGGAGACAGGAGCATGTGTGGCTGAGGCAGGGGCTGTCTGTTACCTTGGTTGGCAGGAAGTGAATGTCAGGAAAGTCACAGCACATTTCAAGAGGTAGTGAGTCCTCCAGGGTGTTCAGCTCCTGGTCCCACCGCGCCCCCTCGATGAATAAACCAAACACGTGAACACCTTTGTGAGAGGGTTCAGAGCCCTGCGGTAGAAGAAGATGTCACAGGGTGTCACTCCTTGTCACCCACCCCTCCGTGGTGGCCATGTCGCTCAAGTTCTGGAAATCTAAAATTGGTGAGAACATTCTAAATCACACAGTTTCAACTGAAGGGCTGTGTGGTTTCTGATGAGCTCTGTGGAACAGGAAGTGGGGTCCCCACAGCTGTGTCTTATGTCTTGGGCCATCCTGGAGGTGGGTGTGTGGCTGATAGTGTGGCTTCCATTTACTTGCAACTCAGCCCAGGAACATGCTTTGTAAGTGGAAACAGCCCATTTTGGAGAGATGTAATTCTCCAAAGAGCTACGCAAGTAAGTGGAAGCCACTGTCCTTTCCCTGAGTCACAGCTGGCGTCTGTTGGGAGGCAGAGGGAACTTGTGCTCAGAGATCAGAGACAAAGCAAGCAGGGCCGGAGTGTATGGCAGCTCCTGGAAAGCTGCAGAGAGGAGGCGGCCATAGATGGAGCCTGGGCTTGGCACCTTATTTCCCTGACCTGTGCTCCGAGGACTGAATAGTGCAGGCAGGGAACTCAAGTGTGGTGCCCAGCACGGAGCAGATACTCAGGAGATGATAGCTGGGAGGCACTGGGGTCATGGTCACCAGCAAATCTGATTTTAGGAAGGAGCCTTATTTTGTTCAACTTTCTATTCCCAACAGCTAGCAGAGCTTTAGACACATTTTAAAATACACAAATTAGTAAATAGTGGATAAGCCTCATATTTAAAATATATCTGAACTTTAGATTTCTTGTACTTTGTGTTTCCTCACCAAGTGACCACTTAATTCTTCCTAAGCCTCCATCACAGGGCACTTCCTTTCTGTCGCAGGACCCTTGCCATGTGCCCTCCCTGTGGAGTTCCACTCCCAGTAGATGAAGAGTCCTGTTCCTTTAAGTAGCTCTTTCTTTTTTTTTTTTTTTTGGTTTTTCTCCGGTACCAGGAACCGAACTCACGACCTTGCACTTGCCAGGCAAGCGCTTTTGCCGCTGAGCTAAATCCCCAGCCCCAAGTAGCTCTTTCTTCTAGAGTCTTCTCTTCTCCAGGATGAGTTCTTCCTGCTCCATCCTTCTGAGAAGGTCTCCAGCCCACAGTCATTCTGGACACTCAAGGAACCATCCCCAAGTGCAGTCTGAGAAGAGGACCAGGCCTGACCCAAGCATGGCCACACCACCCCAGAACCCCAGACACAAGACCCAACTGGACCAGAAATTATGAGACCCTGAGGACAGGAGGCAGGCAGACAGGATGAAGGACACCCCTGTCAGTCATGTGCACAATAAAAACTGAACAAAGCGCTGCCAGTCCTCAAAACTCCAGCCCTACAGTCCAGTCTCTTGCTATTGATGCCAAAATCTCAAACTATTACAATTAAGATGATTCAACCAAAAGGTATCTTTGAACATAATGAATCATCAACATAGTAATGTGATTATCTGCATAGATGCTGAAGAGGTCTTTTACCACGTTTACCTCCGCTCTTCACTACAGAATGTCAGTATAAGAAACTTAAGCAAAATAAGTTCCAGACTCTATCGGGACCCACCATGTTTGTAAGGCTGAGAACCACCTGGTTATTTCAATAGGTAGGAAAAGCATTTAATAAATTCAATGGCTATTTATGAAGTTAAAAAGCAAACTAGGATGAGGAGGTAACTTCCTAAATCTACAAAAAGCCTACAGCTGAAGCAATGGAGTACTGAGAGCTGCTCCCTGAGCTTAAGGAAAAAGCCTGATGCCCACTGTGAACTCCTCTTTGAACACTGGTAGAAAGAAATCAAAGTAAAAAGGGTTTAAATGTAAGCAAGAGAAAGAGCTATATTGTTAAGAGTTAAGTCTCAAGAGGTATAGACAAACTGGAAGAGTGGAGTGGGGCAGGGGTGTTGTACGACTTGGTGTGAAGCTGCAGGGGTTAAGAGTGGTGCTGGCCCAACGAGGGGTGAACCTTGGAACAAAAAGACCTCGGAGAGAGGCTGTGATGGGCAGTAACGTGTTCTGTACCCAGCTGCTGTGGGGGGAGGATGGCCCAGCCTGGCTGGTGACCAAGAGACTGCAGAGCTCCATGAAAAGGAGAACAGTGACCTTCCAGGCCCAACAGGAAGAGGTGTTTGCAGCAGGGATAGCCATGATTCTTAAGCTGGACCTGAATAGCACTGAACCAGAGAGGGGGTTCACCAGCTTAATTACAGCAAAGCATTTCCCTCAGCAAAAGACACCATTGAGAAAGTAAAAAGGAAAGCCACGTACTGGCCAAAGTAATACATTCAGTGTGGTAACCTGACAGCTGACTTTCATCCAAAAGAGCGGACAGAGTCCCCAACAGACTTCAGAGAAGAGCTTTCTTGGAGTTCTGTGCACTTCTCATGAGGCCTGGAGTGTGAGGTTGGTTTTGGGGAGCCCCAAGCCCACGGCTGTCAGCCCCCGTGGGCATGCTTAGCCCTGGAGCACGTGGTGCCTTCATCTCCCGCCCAGCTCACTCCACACAGGGTGGCCCCATGGCACCCTGGGGAGCACTGTCACCCCACTCACAGCCACAGTGGGGGAGCACTTGATACAACCATGAGCAACCACCTTCTATGGGGAGAAAGCAGAGCTTACCGAAGGATATTGCTCATCTAACTGCAAGAGCTCAGGCTGCAGATGGATACTGCAGGGTTGAAAAGATAGCATCCTCCCCAAATTCATGTGTAAACATGCAAGCCCTTCTCAGCAGCCTAGCGGCTGCTTCAAAGTTGAAATGTGGGCTGCTTACCACGGTGTGGTAGGCTCGGTCCTGCAGACGGACTGAGCAGACACACGTGTGGCCCTTTAAGTCTGGGGCCACGCTCAGGGCCTAGGGCTAGGGTCTGTGCTGGGCTGGCCAGGCCCAGCCGGGTGGGCTGCTGAGAGTGGCCAGCACCGGTGTGAAGGACCAGCTGCTCTGTCCACCCTGAGAGCCTGTTACCTTGAAGGCTTTCCGGATGAGGCTGAGCTTCCTCTGAGTGGCCATGGAGAGCTCCTCCTCACTGACGTTGCTGGTGTCGGAAATCACGTGGTGGGAGAAAGTGAGGGCATCCATGGAGACTCCCTGGGACCTCCCATGGTCTTGGAGCACGGCAGCAAGAAAGGCTTGGAGAAACGCATAGCACCCGTGGGCCAGGGCTAGGCGGCCTGGCACCCTGCCTGTGTGACCGGGGCGCCAGAGTCTCTCCAGCAAGTGATGTGGACACGTGTTTCCTCTGGGGCTTTTGTGATGAAGAAAGGCCACCCCCAGGGGAAACAATCCAGCTGCACCTGTCCCTGGTCTCCCTTTCTGGAGATGGCCTCAGTGTCCACTGAGGGCCTGGGGCCAGTGCAGCCTTCCCTGCCCCTGCACTCTGGGTCCTTTTCACCACCTGTCTGCTGCAGTCCATTCCCGTGTACCCGGGCGCCTTCCCGCCCCAGTCTCCTCTCACAGGCTGCCTCCTGCACTGCCCTCCCTGTGTCCCTGCACTCTGGCCCTAAGAACTTCGTTCTCTGATGACTGTTGTAGTCTGCTTCAAGCCCACTGTGGATGCCATGCCTTGGTGGCCCTTCTTGCCCTTGAGCAGGGCCCCCGTGTGTGCTTCCCCAGCATGGCATCACATGTGCTCATGCAGAAGGCCACGCACTCACTTGTCCTCCAGATATTCACTGTGAGCTGTGTTGGTGCTGGGCCTGGACGAGGTGCCAGGGGCACACAGGACCAGGGCAGTGCCTGTCCTGGGGGTGCTTGCACAGGGCCACACGCAAACACAGCTCAGCACTTCTGTCTTCTGCTCACTGAACAGCCAGTGGATGAATGGCAGAAGCCCACTGGGGTCTACCCGGAGTTTGGTGCCCACCCCAAGGCTCTCCCATGGCGTTAGGAGGGTCCAGCAGCGGCCACTGATCTCAACCCCCGAGGGGGCTCAACAGGGTCTGCTTCAGGGTGACAAGCACACAGGTGGGGGTCGGGTGAGGCCCCGGCCAAGGCCTGGGCTGGGTGGGCGGGTGGGAGTAGAGGGAGCCCAGTGCACAGCCTCCCACGCTCACCTTGTGGGAAGAAGAAAGCTGGGAGCCAGTATCTTTTGGGAAATGCTTCCCAGAGGTTGCTTCCTGGATCCGCAGGGGGCCTGGACTTGGGGGCTGCTGGGCGAGAACACTGCTTCCAAGAGCTGATAAATTTCAGGTACCTGGGGGTGTGAGCAGGATGGAGGGTGAGGGCCTCACCTCTGTGTCACACCCTCAGGAAGTCTGCCCTGCTCTGTGATGGACACAGGCGTGTCCTGCAGCTCACTGAGGACGAGGGTGGCCGGGGCAGTGGGACGTTGGGCTGGGCCTGGACTTCTCCAGCACACCCAGCATGCTGGCCCTGTCTGCATCTGCCTTGACACTCACAGGACGGCACTGTGGGCAGTCTGGCTAGCACCTCTGGATCATGCCTGGGTGACCAGGGCGGCAGTTAGGATGCATGGAGAGTCCCGTGGGGTGGCCACATCCATTTCTTCCCCTGGGCCTGCCCCACCATGGCCCTCTCCTGAACGGCTTGCTGCTGACTCTCGCTCCAGGATGCCCTGAGTGTAGCCCTCATCTCTGTCCCAGCATGGAGTAGTCTGGGGAGGGCTCAGCTGGGCACTCTCCGTTTTCCCACCCTGAAGGAAGGCACCCCCCATCCCCGTGTTCCCAGGGTACCCAGACAGACCGAGCCACAGCAGCCCACTCCTACCGGCGTTGCAGGGCTGTCCGGGCTGCCTGGGCCCAGGTGGTGAGGAAGTCCAGGCGCTGGCAGAGGTCATCCACCCAGGCGCTCAGAGGCTTGCTTGACCTGTACGCCTGCTTCTGTTGGGTTTAGAGACAGTCACAGTTATACACAGTGGAGTACTACTCTGCCATAAAGATGGACAGACTCAAATCATTGGTAGGAAAATGAGACCATAATGTTACGTGAACTAAATCAGACATGCAAGCTTAAATATCACATGGTTTCTCTTACATGAGAAACCCAAAGTATAAAGAACAAAATAAAAGATCATAGGAACAGGGAGACAGATGGTTTGCAGATGGGAAGGGGACCAAGAGATGGGAGAGGACAGGAAGGGGATGAATAAAGAATTAAGATGTGTGATGTACACATACCAACTCCCCATGAGGAATGTAATCATCATATACTGCAAACATTTACCATAAAAATAAAAATTTACAAATAGAGACAGTCACATCATTTTTAGTAAATCATCTTTTGGATTATTTACAGTATTTCTGTGAACTTTGGTACAGATTCAACTGCCAGGAGGAGTCCCCGGCAGGGGTGCTGGCAGCACGAGAGTCTGCAAGGGAGGGGCCTCAGGAAGCCTCCAGGCAGGGTCACCTGGCCAGACTGTGCGGCGCAGTGGGATAGCCAACAAAGGTCCCACGCCCTGTCCTCTTCTTCCCTGGGGGCGTCCCTCACCGGGCTCCAGCCGTTCCCTCCGTCGGGGAGGGCGCCCTCGCTGCTCCCGCTGCTCCCGCTGCTCCTGTCATCGTGGCTCCTGGAGAAGTCGGCAGCCCCATGTCCGCTTGTCTTCCCCAGAGATCTGCAGTGTCCCTGCTGCCCGCTTGGGAACACTGCGGCCGCTAGCTGAGTGGCCCTGAGCTCTGTGCCTGCTTCTGCCCAGAGCTTACTCATGGCTCTTCAGTGGGGACTAGTGTATTTTGGTACAGTGTGCACAGTTTTGGAGCCTGAGGGTCCCACTTTCTCTGTAGGTCTCACAGGAGTAGAGTTTTCTAGTGGATTAGGGAGTCATGCTGTTGACAGTGGAATGTATGGGGAACAACCTCTGTGATTACTGCTGCCTTCAGGTGAACAATGTACATTTGAAAAAGGTGTGCCAGCAACCTATGCTGAGGCCCTTGTGGGTAGATACCTGTGGTCTTTGTGTTGTTGCCTTCTGATGATGCTTATAGGAGGGGATGTCCAAGAGCTGGTCTTTTGCCTGTCTCTCAGCTGTGCCAGTGTAGGTCTGGCTGTTGGCTGGGTTTTGTCTTCCTCTGTTCTCGAGCTAACTGTTCTCCATGAGGGCTCGACACCAGTGTGCTGCTCTCTCCCTCTGATAAACTGAATCACTGGATCTTTTCAAATCTGTAATATTGAACTTCAGTGCAACCCCCCCCCCCCTCAGTGAGTAGCTATCTGGATGTTTCAATTCTAAGTCATGGTGAAGTTAGAAAGTGCTGCTGGTAATCTGCCTTCTTTCTCATTATTAAAAATTTTTTAAATCAAGTATTTCAGTTGCTTTCATTGAGAGGTCCAAAGAAGGAAAAGCTTATACAATCTTTGAAAATGTTTAAAACTTTAAAAATATGTGATAAAGAATGAACGTAGTATAAGACATAAACTGGAAAATTAAAGCCTCTTTCTCCACACAGAAAACTCTTCAGTCCCCTTCACACAAGATAGCTCCTGTTGCCCGTTTTCCTTCCAAATACTTGCGTTTCCTGAATCTAAATTACAAGTGTGCACTACCATGCCCACCCTATATTGTTTTAAACAGCTCTGTGATAAACATCTCTCAGATAAATTTAAGTGGTCCTGTTTGTTGCCCTCTAAGAGGGTGTATTAATATATATGAACTTCAAAAATATGCCAGCGTTTTTAATAATTACATAATAGATACGTACCTGCCACAATAAAGGCACTCTTGTATTAAGAAATGAATCATACACTTCCTCCAGTTCTTGAGTAAGGGTGCTCTCTCCTTTTATAGCAAGTTGAAGATCTTTTAAAGATTTATGTATAGCAAATAATAACTTATCAAATCGTCCAGTTTCTTGGTTCAGAAAGGTTATCAAGACACAGTGAATAAGTGGATCATGGCCTGAATTTAAAAAAAGAAAGAGATAAAACTCTGCTCTCTTACAGAAAAAAAAAAGGCTATGTATAGAGGGACACAGGGAATTGCATGTGTCCTGACCAGGGACTGCAGCCCCTGGTGACACAGCCTTATGGGACCACCGTTGTGCTATGGTCCAAAATTGACCAAAATGTCATTTAGGAGTGTGACTATAACCCATATTTTAAAAAGCTACTGCTTAACATTTGGTTCCAAAATGACCTTTTAAAGGGGCTACAATATGCTTGTTAAACTTGGAAATGTGGCCCAGCCCAGGAATTCAGCCATTCTGCCTGCTTTGGAGAGAGATGGGTGGGAGATCTGGCCTTCCTGTCTCAGGCTTTTCTACGCCATGGTATTTTGGAATTGTCTCTGCCCTTCTCCCGACACAAGCCCTGTCTCCTCTGTCCCTGCTCCTACCCCATACTCACCAGACACGTTTCTGCAGAGAGACTCCCAGGCAGGACTGGCCAGGAGGGCCCGCAGGGAGCTCATGGTGGTATCCACGGGCCCACTGTCCTCCACTGCCAGTGGCAGCCGTGCTTGGATGTCACACAGGATTTCCATGACTAGCATGTCAGGGCTCTGCTCAGGACTGCAAAGGAACGGGACAGGAGAGCAGCCCTCTTACAGCTGCAGGGCGTGATTCATTCTTTCTGTAACATTTACAAGGAAATGTATGTTTAAAATACCTGCATCTTCCAGGTGAAATGGCCACCATCTGGAGCCATCTGCCTGAGGAAGGTCCCAGGCTGAGGAGGAGGAGCCTCTGGATATGTCTTCTGTGTCTCCCTCAGGGTGGTGACAGGTGGGTGAGTGGCACACACTGGGTGGGTGGCACACCTACTTTGCTGTACCAATGTGCCTGGTGCTGTTCCCACAGCCCAGTGGGCACCCCCTTCTGTGACTGAGGCTCTCACTGCTGTCACCATGAGACCTCCCAGCACTGTGCAAACCACCTAATGTAATGTGTTTCTTTATTCTGCCATCACACTTTTTCTCTGACTTTGAAGGTGGGGTTCTCAGTAGAAGTGATCCAATTTGGATTCAAAAAATTAAAAAAACCAAAAGGTATGATGAGGATGGTAGATCTTTCAAGTCAGGTCTGCAGACAGCAGCGTGCTGGGCTCACCACCGACTGCCCCGATGACCCAGGACATGTGGACAGGCATGTTCAGGATGCTGGTTCAAAGCACCCTCTTATAATCATTTTATCTCTTGCTGCTTTAGTTGGGAGATGCTAACACTGTGGACCCAGATGTTAGACATGCAAGGTCTACAGAAAATCCAACCTGCTACTGTGGACATCTGCTGGGAGTTTCCTACTGGGGATTCTCTCTGTGTGAGCTACGTTTCCTTAGAAGAAGCAGACGTTATGTATTTGCTTAGTCAGTGAAATGAGAGTTCAGCTATCTCTGTTTTGTGTCTGTAGGATGACCTTGACTGATATGGCCAAACAGTCAACCCAAGGCATAAGCCACAACCAGAATTCAGCCATTTTATTTTATTTTTGTGGGGAATCCAACCCAGGGTCTCAGTCCAGGACCTCATGTTTGTGAGGCAAGAGCTCTATTATTAAGCCCACCTCAACCTACATGTCATTTTAGTATGAATTTTGGTCCAAAGTGAGGAAAAGACTACAAGAAAGTGCAGAATTCTAATAGGTTCAAAGGTTTTAGAGGTGCATGTAAAAAAAAAAAAAAAAAATCACTGTATTGTAAAAGCCAGAGAAATGTAAAATTCAATCTGTAAATACTCAGAAGTATTAGATAATATATAATTGAAATCTAGGGATGTGGGTGAGGTATCACCACTTTATACAATTACAGAATTATTGTTATTTTAATGACAATGATAAACAGAGTTCAGGGCATCCTGTCAATGTTGCCAATAAAATTAATCTGTATTTTGGTTAAACCCTATGTTTATTTCTTTTCTGACTGCAATTAAATGAGAAGTCTAAGTAAAATATCATGCAAAGTGATAAAATTGATGTCTGCTGAATAACTTTCAAATCTTGGGAGATTCAGCATTATAGATAAGTAGGTTTAACAGAATCAAAACTATGGTTAAGGAATGATGTTATTTAAAATATTCGTAATGTTTAAGAGAATTGGGCTTCTTAAACCTTATAGGTCAGTCTTGTGACTACACTTTACAGGAGATAACTGAAAAACTGATTTAAATTTAGGATTTAAATTGAAATGCATGAGGCTGGGGTTTTAGCTCAACAGCACAGTGCCTTCCTGGCAAGCACGAGGTTGTGAGTTCGATTCCCAGTACCAGAAAACCCTCGCCCCCCCCCAATTAAATAAATAAATTAAAATACAGCTAAGTTATATAGATAAGAGAATAAGGGGGTTTAAGAGTCACTATATTTATTTGATTATTAGATTTCTACAAATTATCAAAAAACCTGAAAAGGTCTGGCAGACAGGCAATAGAAGTACATGAACTTTATCATGGATATTAATATATTTGAAGATGTTTGGTTAAGTCTATAAATGTGATCAGATATTATTCAAAGACCTTTTAGGTGTGATTGTTAAAATGTGTGGACTTCCAGGCCTAGGACTTAGAGTGCCAAGCTGAGCATCAGGACACGAGAGCTCAGTGGATCTGAGGACCCTGTGGGGACGGCCCTGTCTGCACTTGGCTTCCTCATGCTCAGGGAGCCAAGTGCAGAGCTGGGTAAGTCCAGGCTTCGGGGGAAGTAGGCATGTGCTTGACCTGTCCCTGAGCAGCTGTGAACTGCCAGGAGATCCCAGAGACCTCCAGCCAGCAATCAAACCACTGTCCTGCATCAACAAACTTCATCTTACTTTATAGAGTCACAGGAGGACAATTGGGGTTTGTGTGTTCCTGTGTTGCACCGTTTGAACCCCTGAGCACCCCGCTGGGTAGACAGGTACTGCTTTCTCCAAGAATGTGACTGGAACACAGAGCCATAGGAGTGCAGCCCACAGGGCTCCTGGTGCAAGCCCCCTTTGCTCCTGACCCATCACCAGTCCCACCCTATGGGAGCAAATAGGTGCATGACACATGGGAACAAAGGATCACCCAGGTACACTTCAGCCCCTCCCTTAACAAAGATTCATGCATGCTTGGTAAATGTGTGTGCTGCGCTTGCTTCTGCATCATTTGGAGAATTCAGTTTCTCTACTGTGTGCACTATACTTTCCTGAAAGTTCGGCACGCATCTCCTAATGAACATCGAATAATCTTGGTCCAGCAGCTCCCTGTGCGCTCTCACCTGATCGCGAGGGTGACCGTGGCAGTGCTGGGCTGCATGGCAGTGAGATCATCCATGAACTGCAAGCCCTGGGTCTCCCTGCAGCTCCGTGTGGCTTCTGGGTGTATTCCTAAGATCTCCGGAGCATCCTCATCAGGTAAGGTCTGGATAATGTGTATGTAGTCCTGGAAACTTGCAGATCTGGGGACCGGCTGACCTATCTGAAAAGTTAGCCACTTAGTTTTGCCTGTGTGAGAGAGCACTTTCAGGAATGCAGAAGACAATAGTTCTCCAGGAAACTACCCACAGAGTTCGTCTTATTGTATGTAGTATGTTCTAAACATGCTACCCGAAGGAACATCTGAGCCCACTGTCCTGTAGAGCACATACACATATGTACAGACACTTGGGAAAAGAAAGAAAGGCAAAAATCATCTAAAGGCGGGGATGATTCATGGCTCAATGACATATGCCCACAGGTGACACTGTAATAAAGCTGACCGTGTCATTTTTGTACAGTAAAACCTGGAGAAGGAATGGAATAATATTGTAGCTTGGACCTCAAATGTTCCCCAAAGGCCATGGTTGAAGGCGTGGTTCCCACTCTGCGGCTCTACAGTGAGGGTGTGGAACGTTTGGGTGGGGGCTGGTGGGCGGGAAGTGAGGTCACTGGGGGGATGTGGCCTTGGAGAAGATATGGGGACCAGGGCCCTTCCTCTCCCTCTCGCTCTCTCCTCTCTCTCTGCTTCAGCGTCCATGGGCTGCCTCCTCTACTGTGTGCTCCCACCACATTCCTGCCTAACGATCACAGACTCTGAAACCATGAACCAGAATAAACCAGTCCTTCTTACAAGTTGATCACCTCAGGCATTTGTCACAGCAGCACAAAGTTGCCTAACACAAATGTTAAGAATTTCCAGCCACTGACAAAGAGGAGAAAGCTGTTCACATGCCACAAAAGTGGGTGGGACGGCTTCCTTGGTGTCCTCAAGGAAAGCCCTAAAGTGTTCATGAGGCCACAAATGAGTCTCACATAGCAGAGTCTTTAGTAAAAGAAACTAAGGTTATGACAGTGAAGAACTGGTGAGTTGGGATTGCTATAAAATTTACAGTGTTTCAAAGCAAGGAGAGAACAGAAATGGGTGAAGTGGGGATATATGAGTCTGTCGTTGGACACAACTGCTGATGACACTGTACACTGCTATCTGTCCCCGCCACCATGCTCATGCACGCATGCTTAATGGATCAGTTTGTGTCCAGAAGCCTCGCACCTCATACTTTGCAGGCAGTTTAAAGGATTTTCAAGGGCGACTTTCTCTTAATAGCCGACTTTAGGCCCTAAACTAAAATGTTACTTTAAAGTTTTATTTGAAGGACATCTTTAAAATACCTTGTAGCTCTTGCCTTAGCAGCAGAGCCCCGCCCACGCCTGACTGGAGGGCTTGCCGCAGGCACCTCCTCTCCGGCCTCCTCCTCCTCTCCTGTCCCAGTTCCCATGAACCAGCCCAGTCTCGCAGGGCTGCTAAATCTGAGGCCTCGCTGCTGGGTCTCACTGTGGGTCTCTCCACAGGGTGAAGGCCCGTGGGGTGGCAGAGGCCAGGGGAACAGACATGGCCCACAGGTTCCTGAGTCAGCCCTGCCCCTTGCTAGCTGCGTGCTTGCACCTTGTGCACCTCCTTCTTTGCCCGTGGCCAGGCACACCACCAGTCCCCAGGCTGCCTCGAGCACTGAACAGGAAGCTCCAGCACCTTGGTTGTAGTGCTGTGTGTCCCTGGGCTGTGCGCTTTGTGCCTGAGGCTCTTGGGGTGCTGCTTTTCCTTACGTTCTTATCAATTACGGCCCTGCATGATGTTGGGTTTAATGGAGCAGTGGGTAAGCTGCTTTTGAAATACTGTACTGGAGGTTCATGAAAGCCATTAAAATGTACATCAGAGTTGATTAAGTACCCATCTTAAATAACACAATAGTGTTTAGTTAAAGATAATCTGTCAATGTGAGATGTATCCTTTTCTCACCTCCTCACTGGAGAAGGTGAAGTCATCTCTCAGCACCTCTGGGTTGCAGAACCTGTAGAGCAGTGTGTCCAGGCACCGCCTGTCCCAGGGGTCAGTGATGCGGCCGCCGTAGACCACCTCCCCAACCAGGCAGCGCAGTAGCCGCCACGGCACATCCGCCTGCCTCCGCAGCATGCTGGCCAGCACCTTGATGGAAACCTGTGGGAGGTGTAGGAGGCCTTGCTGCTTCAGAACCTGCCCCGCTTAACTGACCTGTCACATAAAACCAGTACCACCCGACAGCCATGTGCTTTCTCTGTATCTATGTAGAAGTAGCAAGAAGATGAAATATTAGGAATGCACTTTATCTGCTAGTTTTCTGTTATTGAGTATGCATTATTACTTTTTTGAGTAGACAAAACAGGCTTATGGACTTACTTCTGTATTCTCTGCTATGCCCCAATGATCTACTGTCAACTCTGTCAAACAATACTGATTTTGGTATAGTGGAGTTTTAGTGCAGTCAGATATCTGGGGAAGGAAGCCTCTTTCAGTATTTTTCTTTTTGTGTGTATTTCTAGCACCTCTTCTCTAAGTGAATTTTTATCAACTTTCAATCTTCTCTAATGAAATTCTTTTGGAACTGCATTATATTTGATATTAATCTTGCAAGAATTGATAGTTTATGGTATGAGAGGTTTCCTTATCAGAACATAGATGCATTTATTTAGAGAAAGGCAGGATTTAAAAAACTGAGCTGTGGAATCAGGCTCCCATTTATTAGCTGTGTAGCAGGGGCAAGTTTTTTAAGTGTCCTGTGACTATTTTCCTGCAAAAAAAATGAGAATTAGTGTCATTATCACATAAAATTGTCATGAGGATATATCCATATAAAGCAATGAAGACATTTTAAAGTACCATAAAATGTTACTCTTTTTTTCTCCCTAATTTATAATGCTTTTAGTCCAGCACTCATCTATTGCTTGTTAAATTTGTTCCTGAGTAGTAGTTAGTATTTTTCCTCACTATTGTGTGTACTTAGTTATATACTTCCCTATTTTCACTTCTAGGTTTTTGTCTCTAGAGGAGTGTTACTGGTCTATGTTTTCATGCGGCCACTTTCCCAAGGTCTCTAATTACTTCTGGTAGACAGTTTTTTTTTTAAAACTAGTGGCTTAGGTTTCCTAGATATATAATTATATCATTGACAAAATAGAATTTTTTCTTTTTTATGCTCTTTTACATTAGTGTGAATTATACAGTCTCCCCATCCTGTTGCATTCACTAGAACATCTAAGACAACACTAACAGGCCGTGGTGATCATGCGAGCCTTCTCTGAGGTTTGAGTTCATGTGAAACAAATTTAGTTACTGACTCTTCGACTGATACTCACTGCTGTTTTTTTATAGTCTTTGCCAAGTGCAGCTAGTTCCTTATAATCCTATTATTTTAGGATTTTTATTAGAAATGGCTTCCAATTTCATGATAAATATTTTTCTACATCTAATGAGATAATCACATAAATTAGGATCATAGATTTCCAGATATAAAGCCATTTCTGCATTCTTAGATAGGCCCAACGTGGTCAAGGTATACTAATTTTCAATATGTTATTGTTCAGATAGTGCAATTATTCTTTTCTTGAAATCTATTAAAAAATATTTTACATACAATTTTCATATCTCAAGTCCTAAACAAAATTAGTCCCTAGTTCTTATGTGTATTATCTTCACCAAGTATTCATATTAAAATCATGTTTCATAAGATGAGCTGGGGAGGTTGCCATCTTTTTCTAAGGGCTTGAATACTTAAAATCTGGCTGAGCTTTGAAGAGGTCTGGGCATGGAAGTGCCAACCGGGCTCCTGGACCAGCCCAGGGCAGGCACTGCATCCGGTGCCCTGGTCAGTGGGGCTGGCAGAGTGTCACCCACAGGGTGAGTCTTGGTGGTGGAAGCCTGTGGGAGGTTTTCCTTGGAAAATTTTAAAATCTGCTCTAACATGCAAAGGAGTAGGTGACCAAAGGTGTAACTGCACAGGAAGCACAATTACAAGATTAATTTGGGACAAGTGTGAGCAGGGGTTACCCCAAGTCTGCAAAAAAGCGCAGACAGAATTCTACACGTAGCAGAGAGAAAGGTAGGGAAGCCCACCTCCGTGCACCAGGGTCACGTCCCTGCTTTCGTGAGGAGAGCCCGCTAAGCGCTCACCCACCTC